GTTGAATCAGTGGATTAGAAGAAATGTTTGTGAAACTTTTCTAATCAATATCCTGTTAGGAAAATTAAAACCAGTGTATTACTTCTTAACTTATTCTGGAAGCAAATAGTATGAAATTCCCAAGATGCTCAGTTTTCTTTCAGCAGAAAAGAAAAAACCATACATTACAGTTTTACTGAGCAGTGTGGGCTTAATATACAAGGATATGAAGGAGAGAGTGCACTTTTTTTTTTTTTCAGTGAGGAGGATTCACTCTGAGTTAACATCCATGCCAGTCTTCAGCTATTTTGTATGTGGGTGGCTGCCACAGCATGGCTACCTAGTGGTGTAGGTCTGTGCCCAGGATCCAAACCCACAAACCTGGGCCACCAAAGTGGAACACACCAGATTTAACCACTACGCCACGGGGCCAGCCCCAAGAGTGCACCTTTGTTTTTGGAAGATTAGCCTTGAGCTAACATCTGCTGCCAATTCTCCTCTTTTTGCTGAGGAAGACTGGCCCTGAGCTAACATCCATGCCCATTTTCCTCTGCTTTATATGTGGGATGCCTACCACAGCATGGCTTGCCAAGTGGTGCCATGTCCACACCTGGGATCTGAACCAGTGAACCCCAGGCCACTGAAGCAGACCTTGTACACTTAACCACTGTGCCACTGGGCTGGCACCAAGAGTACACTTCTTTTTGTAGCCCTCCCTCAATGATTTCATTCATTTTCATTCTTTCATTCATGTATTTGTTCTTCTCTATTTTTATTTGTTTGTTCAACTCATTCATTTATGCATCTATTGAACAACTACTTTTTCTTTCTTTCTTTCCTTTTTTTTTTGGTGAGGAAAATTGGCCCTGAGCTAATATCTGTTGCTAATCTTCCTCTTTTTGCTTGAGGAATATTGTCACTGAGCTAACATCTGTGCCAATCTTCCTCTATTTTATATGTGGGACATGGCCACAGCATGGCTTGATGAGTGGTTCTAGGGCCTGCGCCCAGGATCTGAACCGGCAAACCCTGGGCTGCTGAAGTGGAGTGTGTGAACTTAGCCACTATGCCACTGGGCCAGCCCCTGAACAAATACTTTTTAAGTGCCCCCCATCTGCCGTGTATTGTTTTAGGTGCTATGAATATTGCAGTAAATAAAACAAGCAAGATCCCTAGTCCACAGACTTTACAGTCTCAGGAGGGCAAGGGTTGTAGGCAGAGAGAATCAACTAACAAATAAGTGAATAAGATAAATGGAGAAATGAGTTACATAAATAGAACTGATTGATTGATATGATAGAGAGGGACTGATTGGGGGGCCATTTTAGATCAAATAGTTTGAGAAGATTATTTAACAAATGAATAAATGATTGAATGGGGAAGATACATACACAAACAAATAATAAAAGGTAGCAAGCATGTGATAAATGTGATGAATGGATTTCAAATAAAGTGCTCTGTAAGCATAAAAGAAAAGTTATATATAACTGGAAAGAATTTAAGATGTCCTTAAAGCTAAATAGGGTTGTTTTTTGGGTTTTTGTGTGTGTGTGTGTGAAGATTTGCCCTGAGCTAACATCTGTACCAATCGTCCTCCACTTTGTATGTCGGATGCCTCCACAGCGTGGCTGATGAGTGGAGTAGGTCCACACCCGAGATCCAAACCCTCGAACCCCAGGTGGCCCAAGCAGAGCATGTGGAACTTTACTTGGCCACAGGGCTGGCCCCTAGATAAGATTTTGATAGATGAAGATGGTGGAATAAGGACATTCCTAACTGAGCAAATAAGAGAGAAAGTAAAAGGGAACACCTGCCATGTCCAGCCAAGAAGATGAAGAGCAGAGGGATGGAAGAGCGGGAAGGGAAGGCAGCCTTTTGGAGGCAGAGGAAACAGATTGAGGCCAGGTCAGGAGGGGCCTTGAACACCATGAAATGAGTTTTAATTAAAAAGAAAAATTCTTCAGCCAAAGGGCTTGAATGGACATTTCTCCAAATAACATACTCAAATGGCCAAGAAGCATATGAAAAGATGCTCAGCATCACTAATCATCAGAGAAATGCAAATCAAAACACAAATGAGATATTACCTCACACCCGTTAGAATGGTTACTATCAAAAGACCAAAATATCAAGGTGAGGATGTGGAGAGATTGGAACCCTTGTGCACTGTCGATGGGAATGTAAACTGGCACAGCCACTGTGGAAAACGGCATGGAGCTTCCTCAAAAACTTAAAGAGAACTACCATATGATCCAGCAATCCCACTTCTGGGTATATATCCCAAAGAATTGAAAGAAGGGCTTGAAGAGAGATTTGTACACCCATGTTCATAGCAGCTTTACTCACAATAGCCAAGAGGTGGAAGGAACCCGTTCTATCAATGGAAGAATGGATAAGCAAAATGTGGTATATATGTACAATGAAATATTATTCAGCCTTAACAAGGAAGGAAATCCTGTCACATGCCACAACAGGGATGAACCTTGAGGACATTATGCCAAATGAAATAAGCTAGTCACAAAAAGACAAATTCTGTATGATTCCTCTTAGATGAGGTGTCTAACGTAGTCACATTCATAGAAACAGAAAGTAGAATGATGGTTACCAGGTGCTGGGGAGAGGGGCAGTTATTGCTTAACGGGTATAGAGTTTCAGATTTGTAAGATGAAAAAATGCTGCAGATCTGTTTCACAATGTGAATGGACTTAACATTACTGAACTGTACATTTGAAAACGGTTAAGATGGTGAACTTCGTTTTTTATTACAATAAAAAATTCTTCAGTTACTTACGTCCTCAAAATCATCATGCTGTTTTTGTATTAAACTTCTAAGAAGGACCTACATTAACCGCATTTATGCAAACCCCACCTATATGGATCTTGTCCCATGTTGAGCAACAAACCAGCTTAAACAGGGTCTTTGAACCGTGCTCCATCAGTCTTCATCATTCTTGAGTTATCAATATCTGCATGTTGCAAAAGGTCCCATTATATTAGTTTCTCACTAAGATGTCATTTCATTATAGGACCACCTTTGCCTCATCCCTGTGTGAGTCCTGAGACACGTTTCTAGTGTAAACTTTCCTAGTTTTATCCATTTACATAATGTATAAGCCCAATACATTTTAATTATTAAGTTTAATATATTCAACACATAAAAATTAAATATATATTTGATATATAAGGTTGCCTCCTGTTTTATATAGATTAAACTAACTATAATTAAATGATATAGCCAAGTGAGTATTTAGTGTTTAATATTTCATTGTTTTATTGCTGCATAATCTATCTTACAGTTATTAAATCACATAAAAACACGTAAGGTGAATACTTAACCATCTTCTACTTTGGGCCACAAAGTATGAGATAAAGCATACATTTTTAAATACATTTAACTTTGGAAGTTTTGTGTATTCACTTTTATAATGATTGGGTTTTTTTGTTTTTCAGAACTTTCCTGCTATATTTATCTGCATTTTGTGTTAGCACAAGAGAGATGCTTTTCATTGTACAAAACTGGTTCACTTTACATGATCCAGACTTGAGAAGCTAACGTCTCCCGGGTTTCAAGACGACATGCCAAACGTATGGGACCACCTGCTGGAGAGGGATGATATCGCCCTACAGACTGGTGTTCCTGGCCCTTATAACTTAGACCAAGTTGGAAGGCATGAGGATTGCGAAGCCCTTAAGTGTAGAATCAAGGGAATCCTGCTGCCAGAAAATGCTTCTGACATTTTCTGGTGCAACAGAGCGGTCTTAGTCGGGAATTACAAGAATCGAGAAGATACCACAAAAGGAACATGCCATTCGGGTGGGACCGCAACATCTAACAGGTAGACGATTGTCTAGTACTGATATATTAAAATGTTTCATGAGGGCTGCAACCCAATCTGTCTTGTTTACTTCTGAATCCCTAGCACGATAACTGGTACATTGAATATGTCAATAAATATTTACTGAACGAATGAATGTTAGCCAGTTTGGACATTTCTTTCTCAAAACATTTGAAAATTTGCCTTTTGTTCTCCTTCTCCCATGGGACCACCTCCATCATCTATAATAAAAACAATGAGAAACATAATTTGTGTGACAAATTTCCTTTCTAGATGAAAAAATGTATGTTTGGTTAACCAGAAAACTTGAGCCAGTTTCTATACTTACAACTTTAGAGTTAAAAGCAGTAATAATGAAAAATTACCTAAACTAATTAAAAGGAAGGTGACGGGGAGTTGCACAGGCTTTGTAATCAAATATTGCTAGGGTTACATTTCAGCTCTACAGTTAGTAGCCGTATGAGGCTGGATGAATTACTTAACCTTTCTGTTCTCACTGCCCTTTTATTAAATTAAAGTTTTATGAAGATTTAATGAGTCAATGTATATGCAATGCTTTGTGCCAACTTGGTAAATAATAAATAGTAGCCATTAACTGTTTCTCTGACTAAGGATACTCATTTTCCTAATTTTCAATGGGCTGTAAGATTCTTGGGACAGAGACCATATTTTATTTATTCCTAGAACCTGGCACAATGCATGGCATAGGTTGGTACTTAATAAATAAGCGTGTTGAATTAATAAAGAAAATAAATATTTAAGCAACTGTTTGGTGACTATTGTGCATAGTACTCCGCAAGGTTGTGCACCACACAACTGATAACTGAGGCGTATGTAGACAAATACCCAAAAGAGTCATTTAAAATATAGAAATAAGGCATTTTCTACCACCGGAATAATTTGTAATTCCTTTGATTAATCAAGGTTTTTCATGATGATTAAGGAATTTACAAGGAATGTTGAGCTCAAGTAACTCCACATTGAACGGAGACTATATTATAATGTATTCACACATAGCCACATTCCAGTTTAGCTACATAGTGATTTTTACCATTAAGGACATTTTTCTCATTTGCTTTCACTAACACAAACCCTGCTCATAAGTGTAGATAACTGGTTTTGAAAATTTCACAATAAAAACTGTAAAGTAGTTCTGTACTTTGTAATCAGGAAAGGCACCCACAATGAAGAAGAGATTTGCTTTTAATAAAAACATTTTACACATCCCCCTGCAAGTTCTCATGTGGCAAACACTACAAGTATATACCTAACTGTACATCAGCAGGACTGTAAACACCCTGGGCTAGGTGACAGTACTTTACACTTCTAAATGAGAATAATTTTTGCCCATAACGTAATTATATTAAAGGCATCTCTTTTAATCAATGGCTAAATAATCACTACCATTTTCTGCACATCCCAGAAGTGTGGAACATCCTCTGGATTTGAGTTCCAATGTGTAACAAATTTTTCTAGGCTTACGGAATCAAAAACCTATTCCAAACAGATTTTAAGAGGCTAAGCCTTGCCAAATATGAAGTTATTCTTGGAACCAAAGTCTCAAATAAAAAACTAACATGCCCTTTATACCTTTACTGGCAGAGCAAAATTTGACACAAAAATCAAACAACTGTCAAGTGAAAACCACTCCCATGTAAACTTGGTTGAATATCTAGATATATCATTCTCCTTGAAATTACTGGAGAGGGATTTTTACACATTATCTTGTTTATAAGAACACACAATATTTTAGACTCATGCTTGGCATAACACGACATGCTGCAGAAACAAAATGCGACGTTTTCATAGAATGCAACTTATTTTCCAAGTTTAAAAGTTAATTAAAAAATGCACACTTAAAAATCGAGCTCCATAAATTTATAGCTTTCTGTGACCGAAAAGAAAACAAACCCAAAAACCAAAAAAATAGAAGTCGAAAGTTTGGGCAAATAGATAACACAGTAAAAGTAGTTTGAAAATTGAAATATCCTTTCTCTGTCCTTTCCTTGTCCATTCTTTTCTATTTTCAAAGACGGCTATTTGGTTTCTCAATCCGGTTCACATTTTTCATAAAATATAACTATGAGAATAGTAAAATATGGTATAATCATTGGACCATTTTGGAAACAATTAAATGATACGCAAATGCAAATTCAAATCACAATTCTTTTTGCCCTCCAAGTTAGAGGATATTGGTCCTGAAGTAAGTTCAGAAAATAAATAGGCACAAAAAAGCTCATGGAAAACATGTTCCTCAGAACTTTAACACTTAAATTGCAGTGCGTACAGTTTTTACTACATAATTTTAAGCATCCTCGAATCCTGTACATTATAAATAATGAGTCTTATTTACTTTAGCTCGTTCTTAGAATATATTAAATAAGGGCTAATTACAAATCTAATATTTGTTTTGGCATTGCTTTAAAGTTTCAAAATACAATATATTGGGTCCTAATGCTTTATTTTTCAACTTATGAGAATTATGCATATGTTTCAAATGAGGACTTTTCATTTTCTTCTTGTGTCTTTAAAAGTTAACTTAGGACACTTATCTCAGAATTTTCCCCAGAGCAGTATAAACTGGATAACTGCTAATATAGAAGTTAAGATTATCGGATAATTTTTATCAAGTTTAAGTTTTGGTTCCATGCATTTTTTTTAACCTTTGATACCTGCCTCACTTTTCTAACAGGAAGTAGTAGTAACTGACAAATGCATAAAGGAGTAGCTAATGATACTAACAGAAAAACTTAGTCATATGTACTGATTATGATTTTATATTGCATTCTTTCATATAAGATGGTTACATTTATTGATAATTAACAACGTCCTAGTTAGCATGGTGGAACCGAAAAAGTGAAAATGTCATGATGTTCTACTACAGTCGTCATGAATGCATTCCAGGTACTCCACCACCTGAAAAAGTCTGAGAATCACAGACTCAGCATCCATTATGGCTGTGTCTAGTAACGCAAATAAAATCCTAAACCATTAACAGATCATCTCCATTTTTCCTGGCCCGTCAACATGGTGGTATAGGGGGTAGGAGATTAAAACGCTAGTCCCGGCTTTTGCACTTCCAACTCCAGGGCACATAAAGAGATAAGATTTATTCCCTATGACTATTCCATACAGATTCTTTCTCATTATGTTCCATAAATATTAAACTTACCTATAACAATTAATTCCCCTTTTGATTGCTGGCTGTAGAGGTACATTTATATTGAGTTTGAATGCACAGTTGCTGAAAGATTTGCTAACTTTCTTGGCCCATTTTAAACCTCAGAACCAATGGCCTTTCCACCTTGTACTTACTTTCTATATCGTGTAAACAATAACCAAATAACAATAACACTAACATTACTAAATTTATTTTCTTTTCAACATCTCATTTAACTTTTATTGATATTATAGCCCAGTTGGATTTCAAGGATAATAGTGGAAATAGCACTGAACCAGGGAATCAGGAGAACTTCATTTGATCCCTGGATCTGTCCCTAAATAAACGGCATAATTAGGGCAATTCTGAGTGTAGATTTTCTCAAAAGCAAACTAGAAAAATAATATGTACCTCAAAATACTGCCCCAAGGATTAAAATGAAACGATGTAAATGAGGATTGGGAATTATAAAGTCTTATTCCAATGTATGTTCTTACCACTGTGATTTTGAGAACCCCTGTATTCTGTTACAGCACTGCTATTTTAAAAAGGTGGTGGACTCCTCCTTTGAGCACAAAAACAAGCCGAGTATTTCTGGACAGAAGTTGCAATAGATAATGCTTCAAAGTAAAGTAACAGGCTGAGACAACGTTGTTTGGATATTCGTTTTCTGTATTGGCAATCCTCTTTTTAAAATGAAAGAGCTTATTAACAGATATGTAAGATTCTTATAAAACCGATTAATGGGCCCACATTAAGGTGTTCAAAATCTAAAAAAAAAAAAAAATGGCATTTCATACATATATAGCCATGCTTCTTTCTCTCAACCATTGCCATTAAAAGAATTTTTTTCATATTGAAATTATTTATCAAACTGTCTGCTATTTTAACAGAGGTTTAGTTGACCACTGACAATGATGGACATGAATTCTAGCTATTAAACCTAATAACCATAGATGGGCTGAAATATTACTCAGACTTCTAATTCTCTGCACTTGGTTTCAACGCAAATGCTGCTCTTCAGTTGTTCCCTTCTCAAGATATCACCCATGTTTGTTAAGAACTTCAGACACATCACATACACACAGCAAATCTGGTATTCATCATGAATTCACCTAGAAAATCCTGTTTTACAGGTGAACTAGGCTTTTACTAGGAATTAGTAGAAGCCATATGACTAATCTTACATAATGCATTTTATTTTCCTCTGTCAGAACATATATTTCCTTGATGCTAAAATTTCATAGAACATTTCTTGCTGCCTTTTTTCCTCTGAGCTTAGCTTAACACAACGCATGCACTATAACAGAGTGTCTCTGAGCCTTTACCTGAAAATTAACTTTTAAAATATGTCAAAACAAATTAAGATGTCTCATCTTCATTTTTGATTGTTTTTAGCACTGAGTCTTCTCCCAAAATTTTACATAGTTCATTGAGTCTTTGCTGCATTTTGGGAATCCCAGCTAGCTGAGATTCCAGCTTTTGTTTTTCTTCACTCAGTGTTAAACGGATAGCAGTATCCAATTGTTCAAAGCGCCAACCTCCTTCACCATCAAACTGTAATAAATGAGTGTGGTATTTCCTGCATAATCAAAATGAAATAATATTATTAGCAATAATTGTGAAAAGCCATTTTAGTTATAGTTTTATCATTCTAATTGATATCCAAAGGCAATTTTTAAGTAAGGTGCCTATTTTATATTCAATTTTCAAAAATCCCCAAGAGGGTGACTATTGTGATTTTTTTTACTCCAAAAGTCATTAATCGCTAGGAAATTCTACTGCTTATATTAAATTTATTTCATATGCTGAATATATATGATTTGCAAAGGAAGACATGCTGTTGCATCCATTTAATTTATCTTCATAACCCAGTACGGCTTTGAGTAAATATCAAAGCATACTTAGAATGAGAATAACGGAAGAAAGTTGAGAGAAGAAACTAAAAATTTAAAAGGTTATACAGAAAAACTAAGAAAAATAAAGGAAATACAACACCAATTCATTAATATACCATCCTTTGAGAATGAGTTATTCTACATAAGTACAAATTTATTGATAATTAAAGTTTTAAAATGTTTTTTAAAAATGAACTCTTTGACAGAAATCTTTTAGAGATACTTTCTGCATTCATATAATTTAATCTCCTTTCTCATGGCTCAGGTTCATAATTAGCAACTTCAGTGAGGTAGAGAGATGATTTTATTGATGAGATGGGAGACTATCCATCTTCTCCTACAGGAAGGCTCAGGTTATCAGTCTCTGGGATTCATGGGGGATGTGTGGAGAGAGTAGAGCTCTCAGAGCTGATCTCGCATGGCTGAGCCACTGCGTTTGGTCACCATGCTGAAGTGGCCCATGTTCTTATGTGTCCCCAGTTTTTCTGTCTTTCCCTTATAGTGTTTCTCACTTCTTGTTTTCTTTTAAGCTCTCACCTGTCATTATTTACTATGATCAGTGGGCTTATTTCAAGTAGCTGTTACTGCCTATTTTTTTTAAAGTGAGATATGATTCACATACCATAAATTCATCCTTTTAAAGTGTAAAATTCAGTCATTTTTAGTATATTCACAAGCTAATGCAACCACCACCACTATCCAATTCCAGAATATTTTCTTCACCCCCAAAAGAAACCCTATCCCCATTATCAGTCCCTCCCTGTTTCCCTTCTGCTCAGCTCCTGCCAAGCACCAATCTCCTTTATATCTCTAAGGATTTGTCTATTCTGGATGTTTCATATACTTGGAATCATACAATACGTGGGTTTTGTGACTGAATTCTTTCACTTAAAATGATTTCAAAGTTCATCTAGTTGCAGCATGTATTATTACCTCTTTTGTTTTTATGGCTGAATAATACTCCATTGTATGGTATTGTATACTTTATTTATTCATCAATTGAGGACGTTTGGGTTTCATCTCATTTTGATTGAATGGTTTTAGCATGCTGTAAAATGGGAACACTAAGATAGGTTAAAGTATGTCTAAACGAGTAAAATCAATCACAAGCTGAAGGTTGAAGTCGATGTGCTTGATAACATATGACACAGATTAATCATCTTCTCCATAGATTTTTGAGTATCTACTATGTTTAGGTTCTGCAGTTTTCCAAAAATGTGATCTCCCAACAGGTGGGACCTTGTGAAAATTAAATTGAAAACAATGCATTCCTGTGTCAAGGGAAAAAATAAAAATGTGAAAATACTGCTATTAAAATCGGAGAGTTAAAACAACGGTAATGGAAAAACAAAAGAAAGGTAGTTATATGAGAAAGAGAAATAATGGTTAAAAAAAATCATTTTGTTTACTTCATTCTCAACTTTTCTTGGGCTTCCCTAGTCTTGGATATACAACCAGGAGCTATTCTAGAATGCGGTAGTTCAGATCTTGGGCAACTTCCATCTTCAATGTACAATGAAGGTTTGGCTCATCACTCCGGTCCTACAACATTATTTGATTTCCACATGGGAGGAAGACACTGTATAGGTGTTTCATGACCTGAGATTCAAAGGTGTGTTCCATATTATGGGCTAAAACAATATTTCAGGGCTTACTTTAGTCAGAGGAATTCAAAAGAAACTACCATATTAACTGAGGTTCACTGGAAATAATCTGCAGACTTCCTGTGCCAATAAGATAAAGCATCGGAAAGAGGTAATTATAGAGCTGTAATTCTATCCAGGAATCAAACAATGTAATAAGCTTCTATAATTTTTGACCTCTTCAGATACTGCTATTGATTTTAATCTTTACAACCAACAGTTACCCATTTGTCGTTATGGGGAAAAATATAATACATCTTTTCCCTCCTCTGAAATCTTTTCAGGGAAATTAAGAATTTCATCTTGGGAAAAAGAATAATCAGAAATGATAGGTTTCCACAGTGTAAAAATTTTAAACTAATTCATAAATCAGAACTAACAATTTTTAGTTTTATGGGGAAATGTACTGTGGGTAGCTGCAATTAAAAACATATTTTTCTTGTTAAAAGGTACAAAATTACAGATTTTGCTATTTGCTCGAAAAATCACTTGTCCATGACACACATATTAGAATAGCCAAAATCCAGAACACTGACAACACCACATGCTGGTAAGGCTGTGGAGCAACTGGGACTTTAGTTCCTTGCTAGTGGGAATGCAAAATGGCACAGCCACTTTGACAGACAGTTTTGCAGTTTATTATGAAACAAAATATACTCTTACCATACAATCCAGCAATTGCACTCCTTGATATTTACCTAAAGGAGTTGAGAAATCTCATATCCTCACAAAAACCTGCACATCAATGTTTATAGCAGCTTTACTCATAATTGCTAAAACTTGGAAGCAACCAAGATGTCCTCCACTAGGTGAATGGATAAATAAACTGTGTACACCCAACAATGGAATATTATTCAGTGTAAAAAGGAATGAGCTATCACGCCATAAAAAGACACAGAGGAAACTTAAATGAAAATTACTAAGTGAAAAAAGCCAATTGGAAAAAAGCTACATACTGTATGATTTCAGCTATATGACATTCTGGAAAAGGCTGCACTATAGAGACATTAAAGATGAGTGGTTTCTAGGGTTTGGGGGAAGGGAGGGATGAATAGGCAGAGCACAGAGGACTTTTAGAGCAGTGAAAATACTCTGTATAATACTAGAATGGTAGAAACATGTAACTATAAATTTGCCCAAACCTGTAGAATGTACAACACTAGGTGAACCCTAACGTAAACTATGGACTTTGGGTGATTATGATGTGTCAATATAGGTTCATCAATTGTAACAAGTGTACCATTCTGGTGGAGGATATTGATAATGGGGGAGGCTATGCATGTGTGGGGACAGAGATATGGGATATTTCCGTACCTTCCTATCAATTTTGCTATGAACCTAAAACTGCTCTAAAAAAATAAAGTCTGGAAAACAACAACGATAACAAAAAACTATTTGTTCCTTCAATTGAGAAAAAAATGACTGAACATGCTTCCAATGCCTCTTTAGGCTACTTGAATAAGGAACTGAATGACAGGGTAGCATAATAAATCCACTGGTAGAGGTGAGAAAAACAGTAGGACTAAGAGAGAACTCCATGTTATCCGAACATGTGATCTATTAGGAAGCATGTCTGGAAATGACAAGTCCATACCAGAAAGGGCTCAAGAGATCTTCTGGCCTGGTTTTATGTCATCCCTGATTCAGAGGATTTACGGGGAAATGTCTTAATTGTCTACAGATCCAGTTCCTGTTGTTTCTCTCTAGGGAAGAGTCAGAGGAATCACTCATCGACTTGGACTCTAACTCATCCTGGACTAGATCCAGATTGCCTCTGGAGAGATTAGCAAAACAGGGTCCTATAACTCCAGATGCCAATTAATTCCTAACAATGGAGAGACAAATGACAAAGTTCCAGAGAAAGGGTCACTTCATGAAATGCTTTATTTTCAGGTCAACTCTCTGAAGAAAACAAAAATTATGAAAAATCTGAATGCTTAAATAAAGCATGAAAATAGATTATTATCTTCTCAATAGAAGTAGGATTCAGAGTCAAAGAAATTTGCATAAAAGCCTGAGCTGAACTGAATACTCAGTTTATTCACAATTTTAAAGTAAACATTCTTTATAAGGTGAAAGGTCTAGAAGGGCTTCAAGGATTAACTCTAACAAAGCTTGCTACTTAGTCTAGGTTTGAAGTTATGTACACGATGACAGCTTTGGCATAGAATGTGATCAGTCAGATGCTACAGAATGCTTCAGCCAGAGAGAAGAGGAGTCTTGCCTGTCTTTTGGGACATAGGAGGTCAAAGCATGTAGAGTTCACTGTAGTTACTAATATGTCAAAAGAAAAGATTTTGATTGATGAAACAGAAATGCAAAAGTAGACAGTGGAATGTAGTGTGAACGAAAAAGTATTTTCACAGTTTATGCATGAGATACATTTTGAGTTCCTTGTAAAAATAGAGCTGTTTACTATAGTACAGAGGGTGTGATCCTGGTGAGTTACCTTTCTTATTTTTCTAGTTCAAGGTTTCTTCATCTGTAAGATGAGGATAATTGGACTACCTATACTCTACAGGATTGTTATGAGGCTTAAATAAAATAAGCCTGGAAGAGAATAGGTGCTGAATCTGCACTAGCAACTGTTATTATGATGATGAATCAAGGAAAAAGAGGAATGGTAAAAATTGGTGCCATCATTTTTTTAAAAAGGGGGAAATCCCATAAAATTTTATGAGATATTATTTACAAAACATTTTTGTTCATTTTTTCTTAACAAAACCCAAAAAAGTATTTCTTTCTGTGTTTTCTCCAACTTAATCATTAAGGGGAATATCAAGTTGTGGTATTTTTTTTTCCTGGATTTTGAAGAGAGGACTAAAAAGATGATGTAAAATTATATAAATACATTCTTTCCTAGTACATACTATGGAAATATGAATATTTTCAGCTAAAACAAATCACTGGATTTTACTGCTTCTTTTCAGAATTATTGGAATGTGCTGATGGTTTTCAAATAGCACATTAATGTTATGATGTTATCTTTGGAGTTTCTAAATCACTAGTGTGCAATTTAACAAAAATACAACTAGAGAATAAGTGAAATGTCTTATGCTCCATAGTAAAAGTTTAGCAAAGTTATTCTTTAAGAAATACAAAGAAAAACCATCTATCACAAATTAGCATTGGAAACACTTACCAAAGAGAAGGCCTGTGTGTTATAGACAGTAAGGAAATTCCGGCCCCTTTTGCAGCCTGAAATATCTTTCCTTCAACATCAATGCTGACAGCACTGGTACATTCATCCAGCAAGGCATACTTTGGTCTTGAAAAAAATAAACACAAATAAATGAATGATTTTCCTATTCAAATTATAAATCCTTATTTGGATGATATGAGTTGCAATGTTAACATCTTTAAAGGAGCAAAAGAATATATGACATTATTAAAGGTGACAAATGATGAAGCAAAAGAGCAGTCATCCCCCCTCTTTGGACCAGAATATCATACACCTTTTAAATTTTAAATAGATTTTCTGGTACCTGCTCACAATACAGTAGGCTTTATTGTTATGCAGATGAGTGAATCATGAAGATGAGGCACAGGAAAGATGAGGCAGGTCACTGAGTATATTTCCCTGCAGAAGGCAGGTTCATTCTTGGTGACAAGGTTGTGACTAATTACATGAAAAATACATCACAGTAGCTAATTATCAAACAGGCCACAGCCCTGTTAGCAAAGATTTACTGTGAAGATAATTTCGTCAACAACGTGAGTACCTAATCACTACTAATGGAATTTCATTGCCACAAGACTCTACTAAAGTAAGCATGCCTAATCTGACAAATTTAGAGTAGGTATTTAACCTGGTAACATTGAGACCATGCTTCACAAACACATTCTTTTCTTTTTTTTTTTTTTTTTTAAGATTTTATTTTTTCCTTTTTCTCCCCAAAGCCCCCCCGGTACATAGTTGTGTATTCTTCATTGTGGGTTCTTCTAGTTGTGGCATGTGGGACGCTGCCTCAGCGTGGTTCGATGAGCAGTGCCATGTCCGCGCCCAGGATTCGAACTAACGAAACACTGGGCCACCTGCAGCGGAGCGCGCAAACTTAACCACTCGGCCACGGGGCCAGCCCCGACAAACACATTCTTATCGAAAAAAATCAGTAAGTATTTTTCTGATTGCACTCAATCATTTTTTTTTTTTTCTAGCTCAATTTTTACTTTGGAAATGACTGTCTAGTACTCTCAGGATACCTATCACTTGCCACCATTTCCTTCTGTTTATTCTCTTCCTTTCATCTCACCTGACTGCCTTTCTTTTTTCTTTCCCTGTCTTCCTTCAATCTGTCTGGACTTCAGGTATCTATTTGGTACTCAGCAACATGACTTAGCTTTGTTATTGGGACCAAAGGTTTGCTCATGCACTGTCATTTATTACTTATTTCAGCGTTGAGAATCAGTATCAAGTGTTTACCAAGACAATTTCCTTCATGAAGATATTCTGAGTTTTTTTTAAATAAATGACAATGAAAAGATAAAAATTGAAACCAGTGGGGCTGGCCCCGTGGCCAAGTGGTTAAGTTCACGTGCTCCGCTGCAGGCAGCCCAGTGTTTCGTTGGTTCAAATCCTGGGTGCGGACATGGCACTGCTCATCAAACCACGCTGAGGCAGCATCCCACATGCCACAACTAGAAGGACCCACAACGAAGAATATACAACTATGTACCGGGGGACTTTGGGGAGAAAAAGGAAAAAAAATAAAATCTTTAAAAAAAAAAAATTGAAACCAGTAGTAATTTCTCGTTCAGCACAAATAATTATTTAGCACTGTAAATTGTCTTTCCATAATTGATTTGCTTATTTTTTAATGTATTATTATTTTTTTATTATTTTGCTTTTTCTCCCCAAATCTGACCAGTACATAATTGTATATTTTAGTTGTAGGTCCTTCTAGTTCTGGCATGTGGGACACCGCCTCAGCATGGCCTGATGCACGCTGCCATGTGTATGCCTAGGATCGAAACCTCGAAACCCTGGGCTGCCAAAGCAGAGCACGCCAACTTAACCACTTGGCCTGGGGGCTGGTCCCTGATTTGCTTATTGATAGGATCCTGTTACTTATTCTAGAGGAGAAGTCAAAGCTAATAGATACAGGAGTCAAAGGAATCTTTAACACCCATTTGACTTTAACAGCTGCTCTCCATGCAAAGAACTGAAAGATCACTGCAGGTTCCTCATGACATCAACAGAAGTGGTTTTGCTGGCCGGTTTAAGTATTAAGCATTACTTCTTTGTCTCAGAGTTGATTACTGTTTTGTGGATGATTTTCTTTTCAGTGGAAAAAAGGGAAAAGAAAAGGAAGTATAAAAGAGAGAGGTTTGGGGTAAATTTTCTTTTTTGTGAAATCTTTTCCCAGTAATTACATTACTTAATGTGTCTTATTTTTCAGAATGCCTTGAGCTAAATAAAGAGACGCCATTTTAGAATTAGAAGTAAAGTATATATCTTACACTCTGTTGTCATAGCAACCCTTAGTCTAGCAGATGTAAGATAGATCACACACTTTTGTTTCTTTGGCAGGACTGGTGCCTGTATGTGTGTGTATGTGTGTCTATGTGTATTCAAATATATTAAGCAATAGCTGGAATCTGGAACTGATATAACTAAGCAAAACATTAGATAATATTGTTTCTCAGATTTCCCTTTTTCTCTTGGTGTATTATTAGAAGCATGAGCCTTGTGAAGGATCTAATCTATCCCCCTTAAGATAGGACTTTCCTGATCATTCTCAAAACATTAAAATTAAGATCCTCTCAAAAAGAGTATACTATTGTGATATTTAATACTCCCTGCAGAAGTTCTCTGTTTTGGCCAGCTCAAGTCTTTCTCATTATAGTTCAAATCTTGGTTTGTTTGGGTTTTTTTCTGCTTTTTCTCCCCAAAGCCCCCGGGGCACATAGTTTTATATTCTAGTTGTGGGTCCCTCTAGTTGTGGCATGTGGGACGCCACCTCAGCATGGGTTGATGAGCAGTGCCATGTCCGCGCCCAGGATCCAAACCAGCGAAACCCTGGGCCCTGAAGTGGAGTGCAGGAACTTAACCACTTGGCCGCGGGGCAGGCCCCTCAAATCTTGTTATTAATCCTTTGAGGACGAGGGGAGGCAGATTCTCATTGTTATAATTTTCCTACACTGAGTTTAATATTTCTATTTCATTTTATTTTTTCTCAGTAGATTCTGCTTTTCGACAACGTGCTCATCTTCACTGATCTTCCTATGAGTCATTAAATTTTCTTTCCACGGATATACTTGTAACTTGATCTTTATTCAGTCTCACACTATATCCAAACGTGTATACTTTAGATACATAAGTATCAACTATTTATTTCAAGTTACAGGTACTTGAAATCTCTTAGGATTGGCATCTTTTACTAATGTCTCTTGTTCTTTATTACAGAGTTTATTTTATTAACACACTGAGAACAGTGAGAATTTACAGTCACATTTTACATTCCGCTGTATTACATTTCACCAACTATGCTGGTGATCATCTTACTGAATGTTTACGGACGAGGCTCAAACAGATTCAGGGTGATAGTGGGTAACAGCTGGCCATAAACGTCAAACTGTAAAGTTTGCTCTTGAATCTCACCACGTCATCTGAGGAAGAGGCATTCCAAAACACAATTCACTACAAATTCTGAGTTAGCAAGTTTTGGTTCATATGTTTTTAGCTTGCCATATTCTTGTACTAACTATGTACATTATTACAAATATCATGTTATTAACACAATAATTTTTCTCATTAAAAAATTCCAGCTAGACACAAAAATACATATTGTATGATTTAATTTATGTGAAGTTGTAGAACAGGCAGAAATAATCTATGATGATAAAAATCAGGACAGATATTGTCCAAGGGGAGTTTGACTGGAAAGGGGCATGAGGGACTTTCTAGGGTGACAGAAACATTCTCTGTCTTAACAGAGGTGTTGGTTATATAATGTATATACATTTATCAAAAGTCATTGAATTATACACTTAAGGTCTGTGCATTTGGCACATAAATTTTACAATAATAATATTGTTAATAAACCTTGGCTAGTTATTACATAATAATATACATAATAGCATACAAAGTTAAAAGAGGGATATAAATTACAATATACTTTATGAAATAATTACATTAAAAAAATCAAGATAGTCAACTTTTGTGTACCAAGACTGAGAAGAAACTATCCCAAAATTTTAAGTATTATAAGTAATAAGAGATTTTTTTCGTTTGTACTTATCTAAATTTTCTACTTCTATGAAATGAACATATTTTAATAAGTTGTTTAAATGATACCTTCTTTTTTCAATGATAAATATTATATGTTAAACTCTTATCAAAAAGGCCGAACCTAAATATAATCAAGATTTTATCTCTAATTTCCAGTTTACAGGAAAAATAGGAGATTGAGGACAGTAGTAAAGGACCCCATGAGGAAGCAATCAGATAAATCTAGAATGGGCAACATTGTCATAGAGCCACTTTCTTTAACAAGTCAGTGGCATAAACGATGCGGGGAGAAGAGCAAGAGGAAAGAGTAGATTCTTTAGACTGAAAAATAATTAAGAGATATACCACCAAAATTCAATGAGCAAAACTTGTTTAGATCTTGGTTTGAACAAATCAAGCATAAAAATATATTTTTGAGACAATCAGGGAAACTTTGAATATGAACCAGGTATTAGATGACTTCACATAATTATTATTAATTTTATTAGGTATGATTACGGTATGTTGTTATGTAAGAAAATATCCTACTATTTCAGAGATTGGTGCCAAAGTTTTTAAGGAAAAAACTCCATGATGTTTGGGATTTGCTTTAAAGTGCTTCAAAAATGAAAAAAAAAAAAAGAACAGAGAAATCAAGCATAGTCAAATGTTAGATTTGTTGAATCAGTGTGATGGGAATATGGGATTCACCTTACAATTTTCTCTTTGATGAAGTTTTGATGTTTTTTTCCATAAAAAGTTTTAGAAAAAACTTGATAGGGGCCATCCTGGTGGCACAGAGGTTAAGTTCTCATGTTCCGCTTCTCGGCGGCCCGGGGTTCACCAGTTCAGATCCTGGGTGTGAACCTGCACACCGCTTGGCAAGCCATGCTGTGGCAGGTGTCCCATATATAAAGTAGAGGAAGATGGGCACGGATGTTAGCTCAGGGCCAGTCTTCCTCAGCAAAAAGAGGAGGATTGGCAGCAGATGTTAGCTCAGGGCTAATCTTCCTCAAAACAAAAATAAATAAAATAAAATAAATTAATTAATTAAAAATTGATAGCCAGGGGCCTGCCCCGTAGTCAAGTGGTTAAGTTTGCGTGCTCCACTTCAGTGGCCCAGGGTTTCACCAGTTCGGATCCTGGACACAGACATGGCACCGCTCATCAGGCCATGGTGAGGCAGCGTCCCACATAGCACAACCAGAAGGACCCACAATTAGAATACACAACTCTTACTGGGGGGGTTGGGGAGAAGAAGAGTATGAAAAAAAGAAGATAAGCAACAAATGTTAGCTCAGGGGCCAATCTTTAAAAAAAAAAATTAATAGCCAACTCCTTGCTAAGTGTGGGCCAACTAGTTGCTAAGTGTCTAATGAGGCTTATTTGATATATACTTTTTGCTCTTTTTATCAACTTTTCAATATTCTCTGTGAAAGTATTGCTGCTTCCACTGAAACTCCTTCAAGAGTATTGTACCTGCCCCAGCTTATGGCCCATTCAGGCATTCATGCACGTGACTCTTGGTCCTTTTTGCTCAAGATGTAAGTATTAAAAGTAACATATTTCCTGATAACCTCCTGCCCTGCTTACAACTCAGATTCTCATCACCAGAGGTCTAAGACAAAGAAAAGAGATTTCTTTTTCAGAGAAGAATAGGACAAATAAAAGGAACGAATCAGAATAGCTTTAATATTTGTTGCCAGTGTCTTATGCTTGGTATTCTTGAACTCAAAAGGTTATGAAGCTGATTGCAAAGAGAAAAGTTTTATCAAGAGAAATTATTTCTTACATCTCTATTTTTCTGAGTCCATTAAGACCTATGCTGGCTTCTTCCATTGGATAGGCTTCTGATTTTCAAGGAGGAGAGCACTACTAAGCTTAATAGGTACTGAGTAGTTGAAAAGTGAATTTAGTTTGAATTTAATAATTTAATTCAGAAGTATTACTGAATGCCTACCTACTGTATTCATAACAGAATAATAGTGGTTATGTATTCACATTTTAAAATTAGTAGTAATCCGACTTTCAAACTTAGGATACACAAAAGTTAATTTTGTCATCTAACATTACTCAACATAAAAGAAATGAAAAAAATACTTGGAGATATCTGTCATGTGAAAAAAACAACTTAAGAAATTTAACAACTGTAAATTCTAAGCATTAGTTTTTCAGTAAGATATCTTTAAACTAATGATGAAGTTTTTGGTTACAACGATGGAATAGCAGTTACCTGAGTATAGCATACTTTTATTGTTAGTGCCGTTGAGTGCATTCCAATTCTTAGTGACCCTGTGTACAGCAGAGGGGGATCCTGCCTAGTCTTTTTCCTTTATCTTCTCTCCTTTCAGTGTTATATCAGACAATGCTCCACTGCTATTTGTAGGGTTTTCATGGCTAGTGTTAACAGAAGTGGGTAGCCAGGTCCTTCTTCCTAGTCTGTCTAGTCTGGAAGCTCTGCTAAAACCTGTCCACCATGGGTGAGTGACCCTGCTGGTATTTGAAATACCGGTGGCATAGCTTTCAGCATCAGAGCGACACACCACTGCCACAGTATGGCAACCAACAGATGGGTGGTGTGGTTCCTTGACAGAGAACCCGGGCTGCAGCAGTGAGAGCACCAAATCTTAATCACTAGACCACGAGGGCTGGCTATACCATACTTACCTGTGGTAAAACATGCGAGCCATGCCCATTCTTTGTTTTTCCCCTCCTGACAGGACATCTTTCCAGTCCATAACAGCATCCCATCCTTAAAAAAACACACATACATATTCTATAATGCGTTTGTTTAATTGTTTTTGTTTTTGCCCCAGACAAGTGATTCCTGGCAAGTTTAATTTATTAACACAAAGAACCTGATATTTTACAAAATATATGCTTGGATAAACTACAAAGTCACATGTATAAGCATTTTATTTTAGCTTTGATATTTTTTAATGGTAATAATTCCTTATATTGACAAAACATCTTCTAAGAATTCTAAATACTGACACTTTTAAAATTTGTTTGTTTCTGAATATCTCCAAAGAGTTGGTATACTTATACTTACTTTGGAGGGTGGCAGGAGAAAAGATCAACAAGTAGGTCTGTCTCCACACTGCTACAGTTATCTATGCCATCTCTTACAACATCTTAACCACTGAATTTCTGTTGGATATTTATTCAAAAAGCAAGGCTTCTATTTTTTTTTTCTGCTTTTTCTTCCCCAAATCCCCCCAGTACATAGTTGTATAATTTTTTTAGTTGTGGGTTGCTCTAGTTGTGGCATGCGGGACACCATCTCAATGTGGCCTGATGAGCGGTGCCATGTCCGCGCCCAGGATCAAACTAGTGAAACCCTGGGCCTCTGAAGTGGAGCGCGCGAACCTAACTGCTCAGCCATGGGACCGGCCCCTAGGGCTTCTATTGATATAGAAATGTACCCAGATTTTTATTTTATTTTATTTTTTGCTGAGGAAGATTTGCCCTGAGCTAACATCTGTGCCAAACCTCTTCTATTTTTTTGCATGTGGGATGCCTCCACCACGTGGTTGGTGAGTGGAGTAGGGCCCTGCCTGGGATCTGAACCTGTGAATCCGGGCTGGTGAAGTGGAGCAAACAGAACTTTAATAACCCAGCCATGGCACCAGGCCCCCAGAATATTTTTTATATGAAAAACCAAGTTCCAGAATCTTATATGTGCATATATATTGTGTGCAGCATATATGTTAGATATATACACACACATATATGCATATATAAATTATGATTGCATTTCTGTAAACACACACACACACACATGCACCCCTCTGGGAATGAAATTATGAGACTTAAAAGTTAGAAGTTCCCCCTTTTTGCAACATTTGGAAAACTTTTGATTTATTATTTTTACGGCTTATCTTAATTTTGTAATAAGAAAAAATGTCACTTAAAAACAAAACCATGGGGCCTATTAGAAAGATGGCCATATCAAATATTTTTCTGAAGTGGGAATATCAGAAAACAGAGCAGACTAGGCAAAGCCTGATTTTCAGAGGAAAATTACTGCCAAAACTTGACACACGAACTTAGGATAACATTTCCAAATCCCAAGTATTAAAGGCTTAATTTTCCCATTTGGAAAAAAATCCAGGCTCTTTGCACTCTTTTTTCTTTCTCAGCTGAATTTTCACCTTTATTAAAATTTCTAAATAAACTTCGTCAAAGGGAAAGAAAATACAAAGCAGAACTTCATTGTTTTTTGTGCACTGGGTCAAAAAAGGAGATTTTCCCTATTTCCCAGTGATACTCTCCAGCGGGGACCACTGTTCATTTTCTTGGGTAAACTTCCAGGAATTCTCCCTCTATTTAAAAACACATCCTTATAATTTTATATTAGGAAAGAATCTCAAAATGCCATCTGATTTAAAGTTCTTGCTTCTAGTGAAAACTGTTGAAATAAAATTTTCTCTCTGACTGAATTTTATGGCATTTATGAAACATAAGCGAGGATTTTAAAAATAGGTTCAGGTTGCTACACTGTGGAGAAATATTCTGGGCTTAAAAATTTTTGCCCCCTGCCAACTGAGAAGACACAAAGACAAGTATTTGGGTCAAAGGAAACTTTAGCTTTACATATTTAAATAAGTCATGCCCTTTGTTCCACTAAACCCAAAAGTTTTAGTAGGCAATATTGCTTGATCATAGGACATGTAAGTCAGAACTCTGAGCCATCGTGTCACCTTTGATGCTGATTTAGTGAGACAAAGCCACCTAAGAACAGAATGGATGTCCTGCTTCTTACAGACATACAAACCGCTTTAGTTCATGCCTATTTGTTAACACTTCCATTCCTTTCTATTTCTTTGATGGAATGAAACATAGTTTTTAATTGCATCTTCTACTAAAGCAAAGCATTTCTCTAAGCAAAGTATTAGCTAGTCTAAACAGAATTTCAGTAGCTTCTTCCAAAGTAAGTGATGTCTTTACAAATTTAAATGCTTTCCTAATTCACTTAAAAACACATTTTATGTTTCTTTTTTTTTAAGATTTTATTTTTCCTTTTTCTCCCCAAAGCCCCCCCGGTACATAGTTGTGTATTTTTAGTTGTGGGTCCTAGTTGTGGCATGTGGGACGCCACCTTAGCATGGCCTGATGAGCAGTGCCATGTCTACGCCCAGGATTCCAATCCTCGAAACCCTGGGCTGCCGAAGCGGAGTATGCAAACTTAACCACTCGGCCATGGGGCTGGCCCCACATTTCATGTTTTAAGGATTAAGCAGGTAAAGTGGGTTTCCTTGGAATTTTTTAATGTGTAAGGATATAACAATTCTTGTCAGTGTCTAAGAAGCTAGGAGATAGCATAGCACCATGGCAAAGCCTAGTATAGAACACTGATTTTCAAGGCAGATCTGTGTTTGAATCTCTGTCCCACCACTTGCTGTGGACCCCTAGGGAAGTTACTAAACTTCTGAATTTCATCTGTAAAAGGGAGTTAGTAAAACCCACATAATTGGGCAATTGAAACATTAAGTAAGATGACAATGTAAATTGCTTGTTATATTCTGCATAGTAAGCACTCAATAAACCAGAACAATTACTGCTACATTATTAAGGTTGGAATATTCTTAAAAACAGTTCTAGAACTTCTTGATGACTTCTAAAAGAATAGAATATCCCATATTTATTATAAATTTCTATTAGCATTATTGGATTTCAAACTTACCCAAAATAACTTACCCAAGATTAACATGTAGCATTTATTCTGCCACAGTGTTTTAAAACTGGGAAGCAGTTGACCATATGAAACAAAAAGATAACCTGCTTTCCATATTTTAGCATTTATGAATTATGATATTACAAATACCATAAAAATAAATATAATAATACCTCTCTTGCCTGCCTCATTTGCTTATTGTAAGGATCAAAAGGAATAATATATGTGAAATTGCTATGTAAAATATCAAGTACCATCACATAAAGTATATCACAGTATCAACATTACAACTAGTAATTTTACCATTAGCTACTAATTCTTGTGCACTTACAATGTGCCACTGTTCCAAATGCTTTACATAGAGTCTTATTTAATCTTCACAGAATACTTATAAGGTAGATAGTATCCTCATTTTATAGTTGCAGATACAGAGAACAGTGCTAATTAAGATTTGATTCCAGAACTCTGACTTCAAAGCTCACATTCTTAATCACTGTACTTCTCTGCTTCTTCTGATAATATACAAGGGCTAGGAAATAGAACCTAAAACCCACGCAAAATTAAACCTAGAATTCTAGCTTGTTATTTTAGTAGTTTTTCTAGGCTATCAAATTATATGTTGTCAAGTTATTTGAAAGTACGATTATCAGAAAGTAATTCTTTTTTTTTTTTTTGAGGAAGATTAGCCCTGAGCTAACTGCTGCCAATCCTCCTCTTCTTTTGCTGAGGAAGACTGGCCCTGAGCTAACATCCATGCCCATCTTCCTCTACTTTATATGTGGGACGCCTACCATAGCATGGCTTGCCAAGCAGTGCCATGTCCGCATCCGGGATCCGAACTGGCGAACCCCAGGCCGCCGAAGCAGACATGCGCACTTAACCGCTGCACTACCGGGCTGGCCCGAAAGTAATTCTTTTTTAAAGCTCATATGGATAACCATTATTCCTACTCTTTCAAAAATGCCTTATGCTGAAAAACTACAGTACAGAAGTTTGTATATTTTATCTAATTCTCTATGTGCTGCTTGAGAGAGAAAAAAAATGTATTGGTAAGACTATGGGTCTGAAAACAAAAAAGAAGTTCTGTGACATGTGATACCTACTTCTCAAATTAAGTTTCATATAAGCTGAGAGTTTGACAGGAGAATATTTCCGTCACAAACTTTACATACATCTAAAATGGCAATGGCCTTAGGGACACTTGTACATTCAAATATGAAAAGAAAAATACCTGTTTTCAAATGCTAGCAGCAGACTTAATAAAAAGCCCAGTGTGCTGCATGAAATAGAGCACGAGCAGAAAGAGAATGTCAATAACGGACAAGCTGTAAACGCCATCTTTACTTGTGTGGTAATGTTCCAACAATAGCATATATTCAAATTAAACCACTGTCTATTTACCCAAGTTTATTTTTTAAAAGCAAAGTGAAATGCATTAAAAAAATAGACTTTACCTCCTTCTCTTTGAACTATGTGATAGAGGTGGACATTGTGTAGAATACACTCCAGATCGTGGTCTGAATAGCCTTTGTCATGCATGTCATCCACTGAATCAGGATAAATGACTTGATCCCGAAGACTTCCAAGAGACATGTATGGCCTGCAAAACACCAAGCACATGAGGATGCTAGGACAAAGCCATTTTAGTTTACTCAGTGTGACATCACGATGCTCTGAAAACTCCAGAGCTGACTTTATTTTTTTTTAATTTTTATTCTTTTTTTAAAGATTTTATTTTTTTTCCCTTTTTCTCCCCAAAGCCCCCCAGTGCATAGTTGTCTATTCTTCGTTGTGGGTCCTTCTAGTTGTGGCATGTGGGACACTGCCTCAGCGTGGTTTGATGAGCAGTGCCATGTCCGCGCCCAGGATTTGAACCAACGAAACACTGGGCCGCCTGCAGCGGAGCGCGCGAACTTAACCACTCGGCCATGGGGCCAGCCCCCCAGAGCTGACTTTAAATACCATATTTCTAGGATTATATTTATTATCTGGTGATGAGTATTTCTCTCTCCAGCATGACAGGAAAATACACTATGTTCATTTAAAAATTTATTGAGACACAGCCACACAAAAAGTTTCTACAAGAAATAGTTGGGTATTTTCAGCACAGAAATACATACTTGTTTTATTGTATTTTATAAACATTGCTTCTCTATTTTGTCTAAAATTATTTGGGTTAAATATTACAAAATTTCAGGTTTTGACCCAGCAATGCGAACAAACAAAACTTAAAAAAAAAAGCCATTCATAATAAGAGAAATGCAAATTAAAACTATACTGAGTTTCTTAACGGATTGACAAAAGTTCAAAAGCTTGACAAGTCACTCATCTGGCAAGCCTTTGGAGAAACAGGTGACTCTCATACAACAGTGAAAATGCAAAATGGTACAACCCTTTGGAGGGGATTTGGCAAACACCTATCATTTGGTCTCTGACCCACTTCTAGGAACTTACTCTGAAGATATACTCCCAAAAATAACACCACCAACAAAAAAGTGCGTAACGTTATCCCTTGCAGCATTATTTGTAATGGCAAAATATTGAAAACAACCTAAATACCTATACAAAGGAGACTAATTGAATAAACTACAGTACCTGCACTATGCAGATATAATAGAGCACGTGGAAGATCTCTATGAATTGATATAGAGTGATTTCCACAATATAATGTTAAGTTGAAAAGCAGAGTACAAAAGTAGATGTATAGCAGGATTTCTCAACAGCTGCATTATGGATACATTGAATCAGATAATTATTTGTTATTGAGGGCTATCCTTTGTATTCTAGGATGTTCTGCAGCCAACCTGGTCTCTATCCACTAGATGCAAGTAGCATCCACTACAGTAGTGACCCCCCCTGCCAAAAGTCTCCAGATATTGTCCCCAGGGGGACAAAACCATCTCCACTTGAGAACTACTGATATATAATATACTATCTTTATGTAAAATGAAAGCAAAATAAGAAAATATTGTTTTATTCACCTATATTTATAAAAGGAAACACAGGGAGGGTAAATCAGAAACTAATGGAATTGGTTACCTACAGGAGATGGGAGAAACAAGACAGAATGAAGAGGGGAGGGAGAGACCTCTCTAAGTAGCCTTTCTAAATAGTTTTTCATTTCAGAATCATGTCGAAGTGTAATTATTAAAAAATATATAAAATTAGACCAATAAGGATGAAGGGAAAAAACTCTAACACCGAATACAAACAGAAACAAACGAACTGAATGGTATATCAAATGAATAACATAACCACACAGAAGAGGGAGGAGGAACTGATCCAAGTAGCTTTGGAATTTGGCTACATAATTTCAGTTGAAGACAAAAAGAACCACATAGAAACGTTGAACCTTATTTGGCAAGTTTCTTGTTGGTAATGATATATAGGTGTAGCAATTCTGAATCTATTTTATGTATGTTGTAGGATTGACCAAATAAGCAGACATTTTGATAATGTTAGGAGCTAGGGTTCTCACTGTGGAAGGAAGATACAAATATTGGATGTGGGAAGGGAAGGAAAAAAACCTATAATGTTTAATTTGAATTAGAATATCAGTTTGAATTTATGATCTTTTTTTAAATAAAAAAATTTATTTCTAGCTCTGTCTAGAAATAGAAAAAGCTATTCTAGCTCTATCTACATTTGGTGCATCCTCACATTATCATGTGAGAAGGAAATACCACTTAGGTAGTATAGCGCGTTGAATTGTGGACCCAAAAAGACAAGCCCAAGTCCTAATCCCTGGGACCTGTGAATGTGACCCTATTTGGAATAAGGGTCTTTGCAGATGTAATTAAGTTAAGGACCTCAAGATGAGATCATCTTGGACTACCAGATGGGCCCTAAATCCAGTAAGTGCCATTATAAGAAGAGGAGAGACACGGGGAAGAAAGTCATGTGAAGATGGAGGGAGAGATTGGAGCTATGTTCTCACAGGCCACAGAACTCCTAGCCTCACCAGAAGCTGGAAGAGGCAAGAAAAGATTCTCCCCTAGAGCTTTCGGAAGAAGCGTGGCCCTGCTGACACCTTGATTTTGGACTCTTGGCCTCCAGAACTGTGAAAAAACAAATTTCTGTTGTTTTAAACCACCAAAGTTTTGGTTACAGCAGCTCTTGGAAACTAATATAGGTAAGGTTCTTGCAAAAAAATGGTAAAAAATCATATCAGGAGGAAATCATATCTTGCAAAAAATGGGTAACAAATCATATCAGGAGGAAACTATCAGACAAACAAATTGAGGAACTTTCTTTAAAAATACAACAATAACTGTACTCTTTACAAATATCAATGTCATAAAAAACAAAGAAAGGCTGAGAAACACTTTCAGGTTAAAAAACTAGAGTGACATGGCAACTAAAATGCAATGTATGACGCTGGCTAGGGAAAAACGAATTACTGTAAAGAGCAGTATTTTGACAACTGGCAAAATTTCAATATGGAAAGTGTTTAGGTAATAATATTATATCAATGTTAATTTTCATGAATTTGATCATGTACTGTGGTTATGTTAGAGAATATCCTTGCTCTTTGAAAATATATCCTAAAGTAGTTAGGAGTGAAGATTTTGTGATTACTGCAACTTACTTAAAAAAAATAAGGGATGTGTGTGTATAGGAGCGTGTGTGTGTGTGTGTGGAGAGAGAGAGAGAGTTGAAAGTTTTAAATACAAAATATGTTTTGTAGGTCAATTGTTTACCTATTTTCCCATAATATGAAAATGAGTTAGTGGAAAGACAGCACACGGTTACTTTATAACAGATTTAACTAATATTTGAAAATCAAAATATTCATATTTTAATTAGACATATATTCATATAATAAGATTTTTCAATGGAGTCTTTGAAAACATACGGAAGCTCTGGTTATATTTTTTAAAATTGAGATATAATTCACATTTCATAAAATTTACCTTTTTAAAATGTACAATTCAGTGATTGTTAGTATTTTCACAAGCTCATGCAACCATTACCACTATCTAACTCTAGAATATTTTCTTTCCCTCAAAAAGACACTCCATACCCAATAGCAGACACTCCCCATTCTTCCCTCTTCCCAGCCTCTGGCAACCACCAATCTCCTTTCTGTCTCTGTAGATTTGTCTCTTCTGGACATTTCATACACATGGAATCATGCAATATGTGGTCTTTTGTGACAGCCTTCTTTCAGTTAGCATAACGTTTTCAGCTTCATTCATGCTGTAGCATGTAACAGAATTTCATTCCTCTTATGGTTCTATAATATTCCATAGTATGGGTATACCACATTTTGTTAATTCATTCATCAGTTGATGGGTGTTTCCCTTTTATCCACTATTTGGCTGTTATGAATAGTGGGCATCCACCTAGGAGTGGGATTGCTTATGAAACGGGCATAGGATAACTGTTTCACTTTTTGAGGAACTGCCCAGCTATTTTCCAAAGTGGCTGCACCATTTCTGGTCATATTTCTCCTACGATAACCCTATGTCTTCCCCTCCTCCCCTCTTCTTTATCTTTCCCTCTCCAGTCTAACCATATATATTTTTAAAAAATAGAATTAGGACACGCAGTTATTTGTTTATTTACATCATCTTAAGCATTCATATAATGTGACAATATCTTAAATTAATATCTGGTAATAATAATAGCAGCATAAAATAGAAATTGGCCGCCAGAGCCAATGAACAGTTTTTCAATAGGTACTCTGAGATGACTTAGAAGAAATACAAAGAAACCTTAGGAGACAGTACTTTCGCTGCTTTCCAAAGTGATGCCAGTTCCAACTTAAGGTAAATCAGAAGCATAGATATCCTACCACCTTAGCATAAACCCCAGATACAGTTCGATGCACAGATCAGCCATGACACAACACATAACAATGATTAAAATACATCTGAACATTCATTTCACAAGTATTTCGATAGGATTCTACCATAAGACTTGATTAACTGGCAATATTTGATGAAATCATATTTTATATCCACCTTTCGGGAAAGATAGTACAGAGTCACAATGGCGATAATGAGTTTTGGAAACACAGTTCTGGGCTGGAATCCTGATTTCACCATTTATACTAGCAATGTGACACAACTGAGCTAGTGTTACCTCATTTGTAAAGTAACCTACTTTATTGTGCTTGTTATGAGGACTAAATGAAGCAGTGGGTTTTTATAAAGCTTAAATGAAGCAAGGTAGAGCACAACAGTATACGCACATAGTAGGCATTCCATAAACTGTTATGGAAACAAAAAGGTGCACTTCTACTTAGGCTTAGTTTCACTACCTATGTGAAAGGGCAACACCTTAAAAAAGGGCAGATGCAAAACAATTTCTATTTAGCCAGCTAAGAGACTCACGGTTTTATATCCCACAGCAAATTTTTATTCTCAACATAGTTAATAAATAAGTACCTAATTATATAGATTTTAGAAATTATCTTCTGTTAAACACTCAAGAAAGTATTTCTTTTTCTTTTCATTCTCTCTTTTCTTTTTTTTTTTTGGAGAAAGATTAGGCCTGAGCTAACTGCTGCCAATCCTCCTCTTTTTGCTGAGGAAGGCTGGCGCTGAGCTAACATCCGTGCCCATCTTCCTCTACTTTATATGTGGGACACCTTCC